TGTTCTTGGTGTTTACTTCTTATCGATTTTCCGTCGTCAGGACAATCCTCGCTCAGATGTCAAAATCAGCATCAGATGCCTAAGGCTCGCGGACAACGGACGCTGCCACAAACCTTGTGGGTCGGATACAACAGTATAACCAGTTTTTTACAATAAAGCCTCGAATTTCGGAAAAAAACGGCGGAAGCAAAGTTGTACACCTAATATATTATTTGTTACAATTGGTTTTTCTTTATATTTTGTCAAATTATACTTCGTTAATTTAAATAAGCAATAAAAGTTTGATTTTTTGACATTATTACCCGGTAAGCAAAATACTAGCAGAATGCGCGCAGATTGACGCCAATTTCGATCAGATCCCCACATCAAAACCATAGCCATCTGTGTCCTCATTAGGCTCGTGTTTTGTCGACAAGACCTACGTGATAGGCCGTGCGAGCAGATTTTTGGCAGAAACCGCGCAGGTCCTGCTGCCAAACTACGCGCATAGTCTGTGCGCAGAGTTTGCTCGGTTTCTACCGCCAATCTGCCGTCAAATTACTGCAAGTCTTGCGCGGTTTTTGCTACAAATTTGCTGTTAAATATCCGACAGTAGAATCTGGCGCATATTTGACCGCAGATTGGTGGCATAATTTAATATAACAGATTCTGTGTTAAATTTGTTGCCTATTTGCCATCAAACTATGATAACAGGCTTTGCTCGAAATCTGCTCGCACAGGTTTGGTTATCTGGATAGTTAAATTAAATTAACCTTTCGTTATTTATGATATCCACTTAATTTTGTCCACGACTGTATATGTTATATATCTATGTTATATAACGTTATATTTCTGTTATACAATTGCAACTTTTATGAGTAGGAAATTACAACTAACAAGTATGTGCTTGCAATATCAACGTTATATTACATGTTACATTTGTTATATCACGGCAATCTAACTTTTATTTATCAGTATTTGCTGGGAATTTATATTATATAACCAAACACATGCAGCTAAAAGGTCTAAGAGGAATAATAATGATCATTTCGGGCTGCCAACGGGCGGCCGGCTAAGTACGCGTTTCAACGCCATGCGTTCGCTTTAATTAAACTTCATATATCTCGAGAAATACTTTGAATTTCATGAAACCCTTTTAGAAGCATACTTCTAAAATATCAATCTTTTGAAAAATATTTAAAAAATCGATTTTTTGGAAGTGTTACTGTATTTTATATATATTTGTATATTATATATATTTGTGTAGTATATATATCCCAGATAGCACACGGACGTCTATTGGACGTCCGTTATATGTCCATTATTTTACAAAAGATGTCCATAGGACATATGTTTCTCACAACTTCGGACATGGACGTCCGATGGACGTACATCGGACATCCTACAGGTCCCATGTCCAATAAGGACATCCTTGTTACGTCCAATTTATGTCCACAGACGTAAATCAGACATACGGACATAAATTGGACGTGAAACGTACATCCATTGGATGTCCGGTGCTGTATGGGATTTAACTTACGATATATCGGTATTTGTCGGAAGAAAAAATATTACAAGACTTTTTTATTCTATTTCGTCTCAAGAATATATTGTTACAATAGTGCCTAACTTTTGTTAACTCATCGATTTTTGAAAATTTCAAAATTATCAAATTAACAAAAGTCAGGGCACTATTGTAATAATATATTTTTGAAATCAAATAAAGTAAAAGAATCTAGTACTATTTTCTCTTCCAACAAATAGCGAGATATAGTAAGTTAATTATTATAAAAATTTATCAAGTTTTGCATAAATATTTCAAAAAATATTAGGCAAACAAAAAAATGTTTCAAACAAAGATTATCAAAGCTAATTGGTAGAAAGAGATGATATAATAAAAAATTGGGGTTTCCATTTAATCCATTAACGTCCAAAAGTCCTAAAATATTAGCCTTACTTTGCAACTGTATTTTATGTAGAGAAATATATTATATAAGGTTGGAATAGCATTTCCTTATGTTTTCGGAGTCGTTCTACAAGATTCCGACATCAGTATTCGTTTAGATTCACAATAAAATCCAATATGGCGGAATTTTTGAGAAAAAGTCGTGAAAAATCGACAATTTTATTTCTTATAAGTTTGATTTCGTATCAAAAACGTTACTTTGATACAGATACAAGTATCACATATTGTCTCAAAAATGTTGAACTTTCAAGGTATGCATTGGTGAAAATGTGAATTCAGGATGGCTGCCTCAAAGTGGCGGTTTGAGCAAAAAATCTTAGAAAATTATGTATTTTTAGAATAACTTCGCAAAATCCTAGTATTTAGCATCAATTTAATATCCAGGATACTGATTTTAGATTATTTGCTGACTATTAATTCATATTAGAGAATTTCAAAATGGCGGATCCAAGATGGCGACTAAAAGACACGAATAATTATGAAAATTTCCAGATTTTCATGAATTTTCTTCTATTATTTTCATATTCATAAATTATTTCCGAGACGTACATACGCACATATACAAGGTGGGTAATTATAAACTTATAAACTTTACAAAAACATCGAGATAAATACAACGGACGGGAAAAAATTGGAATTGACTACATAAAGTTTTGAGAACAATTATTAAATAAATGAGCGAATAAATGCGCAGTGGTCGGATATCGCGGGCCTGCTACTCAACCGCCGAATCGGATTGACAGGCAAGAACAGCGCGCGCCGGTCCGCTGTTGTTACCTGCCAATCCGGCCCAAGCAGTACGGAGTAGCATACCTGCGATGCCCACAACGCATGCCCACTGAGCGTTTATTCGCTCATTCATTTAGCATATTTTTTTCAAAACTTTACGTAGTCGATTTCTATTTCTTTTTGCCCGTTGTACTTATCTCGATGTTTTTTATGTATTTTATAAAGTTTGTAAGTTTATAATTACCCACCCTGTATATGTGCGTGTGTACATCTCGAATTTATGAATATGAAAATAATAGAAGAAAATTCATGAAAATCTGGAAATTTTCACGATTATTCCTGCTTTTTAATCGCCATCTTGGATCCGCCATTTTGAAATTCTCTAATATGAATTAGTTGTCAGCAAATAATCTAAAATCAGTACCCTGGATACTAAATTGATGCTAAATACTAGGATTCTGCGAAGTTATTCTAAAAATACATTATTTTTAAGTTTTTTCGCTCAAACCGCCATTTTGAGGCAGCCATCTTGATTTCATATTTTCACCAATGCATATTTTGAAAGTTCAACATTTTTGAGACAACATGTGACACTTGTATCTGTATCAAAGTAACGTTTTTGATACGAAATCAAACTTATAAGAAGTAAAATTGTTGATTTTTCACGACCTTTCTCCAAAAATTCCACCATATTGGATTTTATTGTGAATCTAAAAAAATTCTGATGCCGGAATCTTATAGAACGACCCCGAAAACATAAGGAAATGCTATTCCAACCTTATATAATATGTTTCTCTACATAAAATACAATTGCAAAGTAAGGCTAATATTTTAGGACTTTTGGGCGTTAATGGGTTAAAAAAATTAATGATCAGTGAATATCTTGAAAGCGGTGCCATCTGTAAACAAAATGATATAGTTGTTGTATGTATATGTCCTCTTTGAAACCATACAACTTTTGTCTGAAACATTTTTCCATATTTAAAGCCGTTTCTGAAATCCAGGGGTGGGGTCGGACTTTAGAAACACCCTGTATAATCAGTATATCAGTACATCAGTAAACCAATATTCCATAGTCAAAATTAAATCAAAATCAAAGTACTATTCTTATAATATTTTAGGCATTGCCTTTTGTTTTCGTTCTTCGGTAATTATTTATAGAACTTATAACTAACGAATTATTTCGATTTTGATATATATTGTATAGAATAGAATCAAAAATCATCTATACTTTGAATTACATGGAAGTAACATGCAATTCCTGAGATATATTATATTAAAGTTATATAATTTTACATTAAATGATATTGAAAACTATTTTGAATTAGTATTATTAATTATTCTTCGCTACTGTCACTGCAAATATATTGCATGCTATTCTTTTTCATTTATATTTCTTTTTATTTATATGCGCTAGTTTCTTCAAATATGTTACTACTAATATTCAATTTACAAACAACCTATACAAATAACCTATCAAAAAATATTCGAATCTTTTGCCTTAGTAAAATCATCTATCATGTAAAGATTCTGAGAAAACAAACAAAAATCCTTACGTAAGGTTTAAATTTAAATAATTTTTATTATTGAAATATTTCTTTACTAATTTCGTTACATATATTTAAACTTAAATTTTATATAGGGGCCTTATTAATTTTTACAGAATTTATTATTTTAATATATTTATTAATTTAGTATGATAAAAAATTCGAAGAATATTTTGATAGTATGTAATTTTTACACAATTAATTGACAATACATAATACATAATATATAAAACCTTTTGGTAGAACAGAGATCAAATCACTTTTTTACATAATAACATGATTTATTTGTTAATCAGTTTTTAAGAAACAATGAGCAACTACAAAAATTTTTTAAATATTATTCAGAAAGATAATCGTTACAAAATCAAATTTATTAGAGATATTAGAGATATTAGAGATCTCTCTATTAAAGATACTAGAGAATTTATTGGAGATTATATTTTTTTTTGGTATTCTAATCTGTTCATTATATAACATACTCACAAAAACTAGCTCATGTAAGCATAAGAAATACAAACAAAAAAAATAATAAGGATATGTTTGATAATAATGATAAACAAATGAATATAATCAATTACAAAATGCAACATTTTAAAGCGATATATCTTAAGAACTACATGCGACCTTATGTGATCAAGACAGATGTGACTCCAGCTTCTATATATAAGGTGTAACTTTTCGTAAATAATTTTATTTTATCTATTTTTATTATTTTTGTATTTTTATTTTTTTTCTATTAAAACTTGTTTATAATTTTAATGGATATTTGTGTCCCGTAGACGAATTGCTTATTCTTCATCCTCATGTGTATCGGTAAGGACTTGGATGCAGAGTTGCCAGTACAACTACAGCAACTGCTTGGGAGTGTGCGCGATGCTTTTTTAGCAGAAGAAACGACAATACTGCCTTCGGTTAAAAAGACGCTTCTGCAACTGATTGAACTCCATGCTGCTCATTGGCAACTACCGGCACCAGCGGTGGTTTACTATTACCCCAACTCAAATTCTAAATAACTGCAAATATCTAATACTTGCGGTTTTTCCGTCCGTCTTTCCCAAAGAACATGTAAGTGGATTTACGCGAGAATATACATGTATTTTGGCTCTTTGTACAGGATTTAATGTTTCTTCGACAAAAATACAGTTTACTGAACGAATCAATACTCTGAAATCGTTTTAATACTAATATAATAATAACATATAAAATACGATGCAAAAGTACAAAAATAGTGATTGTTTTGTGTTATTCACTTTTTTTTATTAATCATGAATAATTTGAGCATATAAGTTTGGGATGATCTTGTTTTTCTTAACGAAATTTTTATTCAAAAATTATGTATGCAGTAAAAATAAACAAGTTCCTTTTATATAAATCGAAAGAATTTGCGATAAATGTTGAAATCAAGGAATTTTGACAAAAATAATCTGTTAATGTCAACAAGTCAAGTTTCATGGATTTATCATGGAGACAAGATAAAAAAATTTCATATTTCTGAAATAAATATATAGTTATACGAATAAAAGTGACGCAAAACAACACGTAAGATTGCCTTTTCCAAAAACCACTTCTGCCGAATTGTGTCAAGGGCGAGAAAAGACTGCCCAGTGACCGAATGGTAAATGTGATTTCTCTCTGAGTCATAACACAAATTCACGTCGTTGGTCGTCACGCGCACACCTTTGTTACTCGCTTACGAAATTATATAACATCGATTCTTGAATCTCGATTTATCGTCTAAACTGATTTATCGTCATGTCTGATTAAGACGCATACATATTAAGTTACGAAAATATCTGTAAAATTACGTCAAGAAATTAAAACACTGATCTCAATCTTAAAATAAATAGTAAATATATGTATTGGAATATCTAGATAAAACAAGATGTTCTAGAATCATTTTGTACATGCCTAAAATATTCTAAGCATATTTAGGATTTCATAATATTTTGTGCTGCCTAAGTAATTATAATATAATTATGAATAATAAATATATCAAATAATACAACCGTTAAAATAAATTCTACTTTGCTCAAGCATACTTTTCACGTTTATTTCAACATTTTTTAGACTCGTATATTGATCGAGTACTATTTGTTTCGAGTGTGTTAGGTATATTAATTTCTTTCTATTTGTTACCTATTATTGTTCACTGAATTAAATGTAACAGATTTTGATAGAACATGTTAAGGATTTTCGTTTGTCTTCGTTCAATTAAAAAATATCTACGTTTGAAAAAGAAGAAATCGATAGGAAATGATATCGGGAAATGCCGCAAGACGGTTATGTCAATTGCACACTCATCGTCTGGCTTTTAATATGTGCATCAACATGGAATAATAAAGTCCGCTTTATTAGCAGACAGAGCAGCCCACCCACCGACGACCTTGGAACCATCATTCAATCAGCGAAGGCTCAAGAGAGGATTTACCTTGAGTAATCGGTGCTGCGAACTCGAAAACTAGGCCTGCACCCACAATGACGTCGATACATCGCATTGTATATTTCTTATATACACGTCCGTTGTGGAAAATTTTTAATTGACGCATCGTAAAACTATAATGCACCGCGGCTATTTCTCAAGAACTTCGTACATTTACCAATAGAAGACTAAAGAAGATAATCGTTTATATCTGTTATATATAGCATATTATATATAAGCTTTTAAATTCTTAATTTTCTTACATGCAAAAAATATTTAGAAGCGAATGAATTCTATAATTTCCTGAAATAATATTAAAATAAACTAAGATTAACAAAATAAAAAAAAATTATATTATATACAGGGTGAAGAAAAAATACAGGGACCCCTGAAAATTTCGAAAAATGTACACTTTATAAAAAAATGTTTCAGACAAAAGTTACAGCGTTGAAAAAGATCTATTTACCGATCTTAACAATTTGGTCTAGGGTGGCGTCATCAAGGTCAGGACAAAGTCACCTCGGATTTTTTAAATCGAACCCCCAATTTTTTATTACCTATTCTTATAGCCCTTCTTCAGACCTTTTCAAAGCACTATGACTTTATCCACTTTGAATAAGCTGTTCCGAAGTTATCGAGTTTTTTATAGTAAGATATCTAGCCAACTAAGGCAAGATCGGAGGATGATCCAGCCAATTAAGGCAAAATCGTAGGATGATCCGCCCAACTGAGGTAAGATCGGAGGATGATCCAGCCAACTAAGGCAAGATCGTAAGATGATCCGGGCAACTAAGGCAAGATCGTAGGATGATCCGGCCAACTAAGGCAAGATCGGAGGATGATCCAGCCAACTAAGGCAAGATCGGAGGATGATCCGGCCAACTAAGGCAAGATCGTAGGATGATCCGGCCAACTAAAGCAAGATCGTAGGATGATCCGGCCAACTAAGACAAGATCGGAGGATAATCCAGCCAACTAAGGCAAGATCGTAGGATGATCCGGCCAACTAAGGCAAGGTCGGGAGATGTCCGGCCAACTAAGGCAATACTGGAAAGGTTTAAAGTAATTGTTCAAAACGTCCGCCATCAACAGTTTGACAATAAGCTAATCTATCGTAAGAAGATGAAACGGCTTTTTGAATGTAGTCAGCAGGGATGAGAGCAGCTTCATCAAGAATTCGATTTCGTAAGTCATCCATATTTTGTGGTTTCGTTTTGTAAACTATCTTTTAAATGGTCCCACAGGAAGTAATCGTTAGGTGATAAATCGGGTGATCGAGGAGGCCATTCTATAGGTCCTCTTCTACTTATCCATCGATGAGGAAACACTGTGTCCAGATAATTACGGACGTCCCTTCCGTAATGTGGGGGGGCACCATCTTGTTGGAACCATGTATGCTCGAAGTTGTCATCCATGATTGTATCCATTGCTTGTATCGCTGGAACTATTTCGTTTCTTAGCATATTCTCATATTTTATCGCTGTTAGATTTCCGTCAATAAAGAGTGAACCTATAAGAATATTATTCAAAATGCCTACGCTAACATTCACTTTTTGTAGATACTGCGTGTGTGTTTCTTCAATCCAGTGAAGATTTGTATCTGACCAAAATCTACAACTGTGTCGATTAACGTGGCCATTTAACTGAAATGTTGCCTCATCTGAAAACACATTTGATAGATAGTTAGGATCTTCGGCTATTTTTTCCATTATCAAATCACAAAATTCAATGCGCCTATCAAAATCATCTTCATTTAGCTCTTGTACAAGATGGACCTTATAAGGATGAAATTTATTCATTTTCAATATTTTAAGCACAGACATTTGATCTATTTCATGTTGCTGTCCTACTTTGCGGGTCGAATCATGCGGATTTTCGATAAAGGATTGTGGAACATCTAATGATTTCTCTACACTTGTTGCTGATATTGGCCTACCTGGTATTGCATGATTTTTCACACTTCCAGTTTCCTAAAAACGCCTTATCGTTCTTTCAATGGTAGATTTTGAAATGGCATTACCCTGATTACGAAAAGTTTCATTAAAAAGCCGCCTCACATCATTGTACGACTTTAGTCGATCATCCCATCCTCTCATCATCAAAAGAGATATGCGTTCTCGTTCTGAAAGACTTGCCATATTGACAAGCAGAAGTGGTAAGATTTAGTCTAATCGACTAAATTAATATTTGGATCAATTCAAAGTTATTCTAAAGACAGTGCTGAAGAATAATAATGAGCACGGAATGAAGTGCAATTAAGTCAGCTTACAACTAGCTTCAAACTGTTACTTAATAATTTTCAAAAAAATAGAGGAATTTCAGTCGAGGTTGCGATTCACTGTAATGAGTATTAAATGAATAAATGGAAGAAATAAACATCGAACAGCAGAATAGTTCAAATAAATAAATAACTGAAATAAATCAATAAACGAAATTAAGACAAACCAATAGGAGCCAACGCCTGGAAGTTAGTCGCGCAATTATTTTTACGAGTTGGCTGGATCATCCTCCGATCTTGCCTTAGTTGGATGATCCTACGACCTTGCCTTAGTTGGCCGGATCATCCTCCGATTTTGCCTTAGTTGGCTACATATCTTACTTAAAAAACTCGATAATTTCGGAACAGCTTATTCAAATTTTATAAAACTACAGTGCTTTGGAAAGGCCTGAAGAGGGGCTATAAGAATATGTAATAAAAAATTGGGAGTTCCATTTAAAAAATCCGTGATGACCTTGTCCTGACCTTGATGATGCCATCGAATGTCAGTTTGTTAAGATCGGTAAATAGATCCTTTTCAACGCTACAACTTTTGTCTGAAACATTTTTTTATAAAGTGTATATTTTTCGAAATTTTCAGGGGTCCCGTAGTTTTTTCTTCACGCTGTATACAGAGTGTCTCAGAACTTTGACACATAGGCTCAGTAGAGATATAGAGCTAAGTGAGAGGAACAAAAAGGTCTTCAGCCATAATGTGAAAATCATAATAGTATTTAATTATAGCAGCGCAAAGTTAGGCGTTTTCGACGCCCAGCGTGGCCTACAGACGCTCCGCGGCAAGCTGTGTGCGTAGGGACTGAGCGATAACGCGGCTCGCGCTAACCGTCGCGCGGCGTCAAAGCGCCAAAACGCTATTGCGACAGTCAGCGCGGAACGCGTTATTACTCAGTAATACGCACATAGTTTGCCGCGGAGCGTCTATAGGCCGCGCTGGGCGTGGAAAATGCCTAACTTTGCGCTGTTATAATTAAAAAACTATTACGATTTTCACATTATGATAGAAGACTTTCTTGTTCCTCTCACTTAGTTCTATGTCCCTACGGAGCTCGTGTCCCAAAGTTCTGAGACACACTGTATATACAGGGTGTTTGATAGCTGATCATGCAGACGAAAGTTGGAGATAGATTGGGTGTAGCCGAGAAGAAAAGTCATGTACCATAATGTCAAATTGGCAATAGTTATCGAGTTATTAATTAAAACATGTGAGCCAACGAGCGCGCGTTCGCCTCTTGTTGTTTACATTGCCCCTCGCCGCGCGCGCTCGCCTACCGTCACTCGCTGACTCCGCCTGTATCAAATGTCTATGTGCTTACTGC